TAATAAAAGTTCTTCAGTTTACATGAAAATTCCAGAATATATGCAATTTATTATTTCGGACAACTTTTTACTTAAGAATGACTTTAATATATAGCTATGATTATCGAATTTTGTTTGGCGACAAATTCTGATTGGCTAAATGGCAATGGAATATCAATTAACACATGTTAAATGACCTTCTAAGTCATTTGGGACCCAATAACTAGTCATTTGTCATCACTGGGAAATACCACAGAGAACCCTAATGTGTTATTTCATATTTTAGAGATAAGTTTTTTGCATATAGCACTTAATACTAAAAAATTATTTGCAAGCAAAATATTTTTACAAAAATTTTCATTAAAATTTAAAAAATAATTTTATAAATAAATGATTTTTATTTATTATATATATATATATTTTTTAAAAAATTATTAATATATGCTTTAAAGTTTAGAATATTGATTTTGAAATTATTAAGTAATTAATATTTACATAGTATTTTATGATAAATAAAAAAAAATTAATAAAAAATATTTAAAATTTTTAAAAATTTTATTTTAATTTTTAATTTTATCTTTGTTTTAATTTATCTTTTAAACTAAATAATTTTAAATAAATTTGCTTTTTTTAAAAAAAAATTAAAATATTTAAATAAAAAAATTTTAATAAATAATTTTATTTGTAAACTATATATATAGTGTATAAAACACACACATATACGTATATTTAGTAACTTAATTACTTTCTAAGATTTTGACAAAAAAAATTTAATAGTTAGACCATGTAAAATTAATCAATTGGTTTTTATAACCCGGCCGGGTCAAATTTTGAAAACTTCTAAAAAAAAGATTTTATATGTTTTAATAACCGAGTGGGTTTTAAAAATTTTTTTTTATATAAATTTTATAAAATTTTATATATGAAATTTTTTAAAAAAAAAGCCGGCCGGCCGGGTCTATTTTTAAATTTGATGTTATGAAAACCAAGTAATTAAACAGTATATATAATTTATTAGGTAAATATACAGTAGCATTTCTACTTATTGTTATAATTATACAAATCTAACCACTTTAATAAATTATTAACTTTTATAAATTAGAATTATTTCATGTAATACTGTACTTCATATAAATTATTAATAAAGCATAACCTTATTTTTAAAAAAAGTAATATATATTAAAATGCTATAAACAAATAAAAAACTCTAATATAAAAATTATAAAATGTGTAAAAATTATTTTAAATATATAGAACATAAACCAACTTTCTATATATTTTGGCATTTTTCTAATCCTATTATATATATATATATATATACAGTCGACTCTGGATATAACGAACCTTTTTATAACGAACACACTATATAATGAACTTTTTTTTTCAAATTTAATATAAGTTCGGTATATAAAATATAGTAAATTACTATATAACGAACTTTTAAAAATTTTTACTATAATACTCGTCAGTTCGTTATAAACAGAGTTGACTGTAATCTACTTTTTTTATGGCAAAAATCTGTTCTATAAGTGAATTCACAAATGCTTCGTTCGAAGATGTTGACTTAGTGTTAGCGATAAAGTTTGCTCATCGCGCGTTGAATTTCTAAATTTCTTTACCGATTTTAGATAAAGTCGAGTTACACACTTATAATAATCCAGAGGCTCGGAATCGGTAATGTTAGGGGCAGAATTTATAAAACTTATCTAGGAATATAAAATTTTTTTATACATCGTTTTTTGAACTCTTTTTGACAAGTATAAACAAGAAACTACCAAACCTTGTCCCGTTTAAGTGACCGCAGCGCACCTTGAATTCGATGGCAGCCCTTGCAAATAGTACAAAAACTAATCGACGCGTTTCTTATTTTTATGATGGTATGTATTTATAATTTTCTAATAATTATTCATTTCTTTTTTTTTCAATAGCATTTGTAACCTTTGGTTTACTTATAGAGGACGTAGGTAACTATACATACGGTCAAGGTATGAACATACTCGAATTTTTTATTCGCGTTTACACGCTGTTTCTTTTCACTAAACCGTTGAATAATTAGGTCACCCGATGAAGCCGCATAGAATGCGAATGGTTCATGATCTTGTTGTAAACTATAACTTATTCAAGAAAATGGAAGTTCTCGTATCCTTTTGTTCGTGATCTATCATTGTATCGAGCAGTTATATTATCGACTTACAAGTATTTATGACTGCTATCTTGAAACACGCATATACGTCCTTAATCGTTGCATTTGAATATGCTTGACTAATTTTGGTTATAGACTCCGAAACGGGCAACATTCAGGCAAATGACACGTTTCCACACGGATGAATATATCCATTTTTTGGAGAGAGTCACGCCACTAAACGTTGAGGAACTGTCGCAGCAGCAAACAAGATGTACTGCTTTTTATTATTCTTATTTTTTAAATTTCAATGCATGTACTTTTATCAACGAATAAGCATAACGAACATTTTGTACTTTACTAAAAATAGTTAATGTTGGAGAAGATTGTCCTATTTTTGAAGGGCTATTTGAATTCTGTTCTATCTCTGCTGGTGGATCAATTGGTTAGTAATATATAATCATTATTTAAAGTGCAACGTGTTAAAAACGTTAATTTAATTTTTTTCTTGAATTAATCATATAAATAAATAGATGCTGCCAATAAATTGACCAGTGGAGAATCGGATATAGCGATAAACTGGTCTGGAGGTCTACACCACGCAAAAAGGTTCGAGGCATCCGGATTTTGCTACGTGAATGATATAGTGTTAGCTATTTTAGAGCTTTTAAGGTAAATTTTCTTTATTTATTATGTTATCACACTTATCCAATTATTTTACTTTTATGTATATTGACTTATATTAACACTTTAATGTTATGGAGGTTTTATCAACGCGTCCTCTATATTGATATTGATATACATCATGGTGATGGTGTGGAAGAAGCTTTTTACACCACTGATCGAGTTTTGACTTGCTCATTCCACAAGTTTGGACAATTTTTTCCTGGTACCGGTGATGTCTCGGTATGAATACGTTATTTAAGTAGTTTCATTTTATTTTACTACTAAAATTATCCTTTCCTATTAATTAATAGGATATTGGTATTGGTACTGGGAAGTATTACGCAGTGAATTTCCCATTAAAGGATGGCATGGATGACTGGAATTACCAAAATGTTTTTCGTCCGGTATACAATTTTTACAAATCATGAGTTTAGGCACAATTGTAATTTTTTTACGACGCGTGTTTATTTCTTATCACATGCACATATACGTGAAAAAAATAGGTAGTACAACATATAATTGAGTGGTATCGACCTGGAGCAATAGTTTTACAATGTGGTGCCGATTCACTCGCTGGTGATCGACTAGGCTGTTTCAATCTTTCTATGAAGGGACATGCTGCTTGTGTCGATTTCGTAAAAGATTTTAATATTCCGCTTCTGGTTGTGGGTGGAGGTGGATACACAATCCGTAACGTAGCTCGTGCTTGGACGTATGAAACTGGATTATTGCTTGGGGAACAGCTTAGCGAAGGTAAATTATTCTTGATCATTACAATTTACGCTGCGTTCAATGTTTTTATTAAAATGGCTTGTTTTATTTAGATCTACCATACAATAACTTCTTGGAATACTATGGACCAAATTACAAACTTGACGTTCCTGCAAATAATATGGAAAATATGAACACACCTGCCTACTTAGCTGATATGAAGTACATTTCATTTTAAACAAATCGTTCTTTAATAGTAAAATCATCAATTAAAGACAAAATTTTTTATTTTATAGAGCAAAAGTATTTGAAAATCTGCGGAATATTCCTTTTGCTCCTAGTGTTCAAATCCATCGTGAATATCATAAAATTTAAATCTTTTCTGCGTTATTTTATTTTATAACTTATATTTAACAATAAATTTATTATTAAGCTGTACCGTATCCTGAAGAGTCAGAAGAAGATGAGGAAGAAGACGATCCGGATACAAGAATATCGCGTTAGTTTAAATTTCATCCTTTTTTTTACTTATAAACTTCAAACTTGCTAATTTATTTTATGCATCAATTTAGAACGACAGCTGAATACACGCGTTGTTCCAGAAAATGAATTTTCCGATTCTGAGGATGAAGGTGGAAGGCGACATGAGAGGAGTTATTATACTAATGGAAAGTCAGGAGAGTCTTCAGCACGTAAGGCTCGTGCAAACAACAAAACAGCTTTACATAATGAAAGTGAAAGTCGTGGGTCATCTTCGCGTTCTGGTAAGACAAACAGCGGAATTAGAGATCAAGGACGCAACAAACCATCAAGGTCCAATCAAATATTTGACGATGTACTCAACACTACAGTGAGCACTAGTGTTCCACCAGCAGATAGACCATCGATAATGACTCCTTCGCCAAATTCCTCTCGACCTCCTGCCCCACCTTCCGATGTTGCACAAGAGGATGTAGCATCAGCACCTGGTACCCCACCAATATCAAATGCTAATAATGCTAACGAAACTGTCACTGGGGCAAATGAAACGACGACTACTACTATGGAAATAGATACTGTTGAACCTGAATCTGAGCCGATAGCGAAAGATGAGGAAACTGATGATGTTACAATGCAATCGTGATTTATGTCATTGATACTGTATAAACGTAATTGTCATGTATACCCTTGACATGCATATATTTAATAAAAACTCCAAATCATTTAGTAATATTTTGTTATAAGGTTGCTGAAAAATTAATGTTATCAAATTTTCTTTCTGCATACAACACAATCAAAATTATTACAGCACGGAATAATTTTAAGATTACATAATCAAACCTGATTGGTTAATTTTATATAATTAATTGGTATATCAGATATATAATTAAAGATATGATCGTATTATCCGGATAGATTCGCATATTTCTCATAATTTGAGCTCATTCATTTTCTACATTTGAAAAGAACAATTTATTCGTTTATTTAATTGACCCATTTGACCCAGGTCAAGGACCCGTCAAGATGCTGATCCGTACAGGTCAACCTGACCCGGTAACAGTTTATTAAAACTAGCGATGGAACATTAGTTAATTAATAAAAAAAATTTAATTTATTGGTTCTCATAACATGAAACGTTTTAAATAGACCCGGTCGTCCGGCTTTTTTTTTTTAATTTTATATATAGCAATTTATAAAATTTTTTTACTGCTATTATCATAATTCCTGAAACACCTGATAAAAATTAGCCGAATAATTTTTCAGCCGATTAGTGATCTCAGCATAATAGATTATAAATTGATATGATACATATGTACGCACGTATATAATTTAGGATCAGATGATTAATATAATATTATACTGATACGAACACTGTATCTAAATCAAATACAAAAAACATTGATGCTTTCAAAACATCCTCGCTGACGAATGATTAAAAAAATTTTTTTTAGGAAGCTTATCATTTCGAAAATTGCGAACACTAGATGTTAGTATGTCATAATAAGTCCAGTTTTCAAGCACCTTCGAAGATATAATATATTGAAAACTTCTACGACATATATTAATAAAATCAAGATTTTTTGAACGGAATCTTGAGTTATATCTTTAAACTAGCCGACAAAATTCTTGACCATATCTCGTGTAATATGTTTATTATAAATGTCTATTTTATATCTGGAACCTTTTTATATT